AAAACTAGTTGGCCCATTGCACTTGACTTATATGGAAACATCATATTCACTAAAAATAAATAGTCATTTTGAATAAGTTGTAAAGAAAGCGTATACAACTTTTATTTCAATTATTACTTGAGCTGTCCAATCATCTTGAAGTGGATGGAACTAAAATGGGTAAAAATAAAACTTCAAATTGCAAAAATGTAAGTTACAAAATGTGTTTCTTTATATCCACAAGGTATCATTAATACGAAAGCTACATTAGATACTAAAGTTCAGTGATGCTTTTTATAGTGAGGTTGTTGGATCACATCCCACCAAACTGTGGAGGAAAAGATATTGGAAGGATGACCTAGCTGTTAGACCAAATATTTAAAAATAAAATATGTAAAATGCACTTCACATTCCACCATTAGACTTGAAACAGTTCTTATGATTATATGATCTGCATTCCAAAATATCTAGCATGAGCACTATATTATTGAACATAAATTCTTACAATTAAGAAAGTGAAATAGAGCAAACACTAACCCAAAGGTAGGAAACCACTGAAGAGTACTGTGATAGAAAAACCAGGAAAAGAAAATAAGTCAAGATATCACACCATATCAATATCTGGAATTAATGAAATTAGCAATAGAAGCACAGTATTGGGCACTTGAATTTTCCAGAGGAACAAATTAAGTCAGAATGAATAACATTTCTTTGAAAACCCTATTTTAATTTTTCAACTTAGCAACCCTGCTCCATAAACAATAGAAATGGCCACATGCATTACATGGTGAGAAGCACAAACTAGCAGGGCAAATTGCAAATCTGTTTGAGGCTCTGAACCACTAAATTCCATATCAATAAAATTTAAGAACCCCCATGTCAAGGAATGCCTGATTTTCTTGTATGAAATGCACGAGAATTACAAAAATGAAAGTCAAACTTTATTCTTCAGGGGGAAATGCAGCTTCAAATTATTTAACATCAGTATACCACTTCAACAAGAATTGAATCGAATTGTGACAAGAAAGGACAGCAAACATATTACATCCGAAGACAACCCTACATTTCCACCTGACATTGATGTGTGATGTAAATAAGAACAAAAGGATGAAGTATTTCACTTACTTTTCCAGCATCTATCAGAATGTTATAGCTTCCCGAAGGCCTAGTATATTGAATAAGGATGCTTGTATTCAATCTCCTATTTTTATCACCTGGTTCCAAAGCTTTTAGGCACACCTGTGAGCACTGACAACCATTCAGTGTCTTCAATCGCTCAATCAATTTTAAGGTTAAAACTCTAAAGTAATCAACTGTAAACTACTTATAGTTGTTGCAATTTGGTAATACTGGACACTTCTTAAAAGGATCTGTTAGACAGCTAACAAGAGGAATCCTTGCACTAGTTCTTGTCCTCATAAAAATGATCTCAGATTGTTCTCCATCATGTCCACTTGCAGAATAAGTAAGCTTAACTATAGTAGTGCAAGCACTGCAAAAAGCCATTATGGAGTCCACCATTGTTAACAAATACACTGAAAAGTAGGAGCTCAAGATTACAATATTTCTTTGAAATGGCTATAAACGTGAACCAAATGAATAATATTACACACTTAAAAACAAAAACCAAACAAAGGTCGACAACATTGAAAGGCATTCATAAAGCTACCAAACCACGCATTTCAAATTCAATAGTACAACATGATTCATGAAACACCCAAATCAGAGGAACATTCTATTATGCAGAAACAAGGACTGTTCAACAAAAGGACTAAAACCCAGAAAACATAACAAACCATTTTATCAAAATTGGGGATAAAAAGGCGTAGAGAAGTTGTTGAAGTGCATACTAGATTGAAGGCAAGCTATCTTCAACGGAGAGAACCCATTTCTCGGGAGTGAAATTGACGAACCGTGAAGGGTTACCTGACGTTTATAAGGTGCAAGACTGGTTCGAGAAGGCGTGGATCGAACAGTACTCAGAGAGGAAACCATCTTTTCCGTTTTGGTGCAGTGTAGAAGACGAAGGAGGGAAGGCACAAGGCAAAGCTGACAACAATTCATAGAGTCAAAGCGAGGTCAACGGATCTGCGGCCGGCGCCGTTTTGCCATTGTACGAGAAAGAAATAACTGTTTTTATTTATTTATTTATTTATTTTAAACAGGATACAAATCAAGGGGCGAGGGTTCTATCCCAACTTAAGGATCGGGGATGCACTCTGAAGAAGGCTTAAAATCATCGAGTTACTAAACCCAAATGTTATTTATTTATTTATTTTAGCATTGAAGGATATTTATTTGATATTATAATAGTTTAAATTTTTTATTTTAAATATAAATTGAGGGTTTTTACCTTATAGTATTTTTAAATTAATGTATTTGAAGAGAAAGAAGAGGAGTGTAAGGAAAAGATGTCTCAATCCCTTTTATTTAGATTTTTTATTAATAAATTAAAAAATTTTCATTTTATTTTATTTTTAAAATTATTTAATTAAATAAAAAATATTATTCATTTCCTCCTTTCAATTTTACTTATACAAACAAAATTAACATAAAATTTTCCCTTCACTTCTCTTTCCTTCCCTTTTTTCTCTTCTCCTCCCCCTTCCCTTTACTAATTTTTATTTTTTTATTAATAAATTAAAAAATTTTCATTTTATTTTATTTTTAAAATTATTTAATTAAATAAAAAATATTATTCATTTCCTCCTTTCAATTTTACTTATACAAACAAAATTAACATAAAATTTTCCCTTCACTTCTCTTTCCTTCCCTTTACTAATTTTTATTCAACAGTTGGTCAATGAGGATGGGGACCAAATAATAACTGCATTTCCTTTGCTAGATTTGCAATCTTGATCCTTGAATTCTGTTTCTTTCGAGTTTGTGTTCTTGGGTTGTAAGCAATAACGGGCCGAAGGCTAGGCTTGAGTTTAATGTTTCATCATTTTGGGCTTTAATAACTGAAATGGAAGTTCATTCATGATTTATTCTGAATTTGCAACGGGCCGAAGGTTGGGCCTGCTTATTGTTTCACCATTTTGGGCTCATATTAATCCAAATTAATTTTTTTTAATGTTAGCCCAAATTAAAATAGAAGTTCAGCCAGCAGCCATGTCATATTTATTATAACTTATGGACTTTTTTCCTGGAGTCCAGTCTTCTGCTGTTGGATGGGTCCTCTTCCAATACTAAAAGCCCCTCTAATTGTGTTTCCATTTTTTTTTTTTACTATCCTCGTCCAAAAGTCATATTGATCTAACTAATTTAGAATCGAGCAATATCAAATCTCATATGAGAAAAAGTTCTCACAGCATTTATTTCTCTATTCACAAGATTCAAATTCAATACCTTATTTAAAATAAATCAAACTTTTTTCATTGAGCCTAACAAATCATTAGTAAAATCTTGCTAATGGTTACTGTTTACAAAATACATTTTTATTTTTTCTAAGCAATTTTAAATACTTTTTTATTTTAATATTAATAGTTAGTATTATATAATTTAATACAATTTAAACTGTATAATTCTTTATTCTTTTAGTAAATAACTCGCAAAGAGTAATTCTATCCTCAATTCCTCAACACAGCATGGACTATCTGGTTTGTGAGAAATGGCATCTCCTTTAATAGAGCAGCGTGGGACGAGGAGAGATCCTTTGATCTAATTCGATCAAAACTCATTCAATTGGGTAAAATGGAAATCCACGTCCTCTACCTTCCGGCTATATATTGACTGGTTAGTGAGTTCTCTCTTCCCTTACCTGAGCAAAGCTGATTGTTGATTTTCTTTGTATGGTGTTGATCCCAATTCCCAACTATTTTAATTTCCATTACTGTAATTTATTGATCCTGTATTTTTACAATAAAATATTTGCTTACCCAAAAAAAATGTAACATGGGTAGACATGTTCTTTTTTTTATGAAAGTATGCTTCTGCTGGCAATTTTGAAGATTTTCATTGGGTTTCTTTTCTTTTATATATACATGTTCGAGCATGCAATATCATTTAGGTGTTTTTTTTGGTAGATTTATATAAATAATTTCACATATGATCAAAGGGCATACAGTATTTTCAAACTATGTGATGTCATAAAATCTCCCAAAAGATCTGTCATGCCTTTAAGTGTATTTGGTTAGAACCAAATTTTCTTGAAAAAGTTTTTATTAAGAAAATATTATAATTTATATGTAAAAATTAATAAGTTTTATAATGAAATTTTATTGGTTTATTATTTTTTGCATTTGATAATAAATTGATATACAAAAATTGCTAAATGAGTCTCACATAAATAAAGTTGAGTGAATTTTTTTTTTAAAAAAAGTATAAAATTTTTTTATTGATTAAGAATTACGTCATAAAAAATAAAAACTAAAAATGTTAATTTTATTAGTTTTTATTATAATACCAAAAGATATAAATATATAAATAACCCTATAAAAAATATTCAGAATTTTTATTCAAAATATTCAAAATTAAATCTCACACCCTACCTGTGGAAAAAGTTCCTGGTATAAGG